TCCTTCTCCTCCTCCTCCTCCTCCTCCTCCTCCTCCTCCTCCTCCTCCTCCTCCTCCTCCTCCTCCTCCCTCCTCATTCCTCCCTCCTCCTCTTCCTCCTCCTCCTCATCCTCGTCTTCCGCCTCCTCGGCCTCCTCCTCCTCCTCCTCCTGCTCCTCCTCCTCCTCCTTTTCCTTCCTCTCTCCTCGCTCCGCCTCCGCCGCCTCACCTACTTCACTTCTCTTTCGAGAACGGGGATTGTGGAGCCCATTGGGGTCGAAGGCGACCCGCGCGAGGCTTTCACCCTGAGTTCGCGCGTGCGCTATTTCAATGAGATATGCGGTTTGCTCTGTGGCGGCCTCTATCTCTCCTACTCCTTCTCCTTCCTTCCTCCCTACTCTCCTCCTACCTCCTCCCTCCTCTCCAAACTGGAAAATTACATTTTTCCGTTGTTGGCCCCTTCCCCCCCCACCCCCCCCCCCCCCCCCCCCCCCCCCCCCCTCCCCCCCCCCCCCCCCCCCAGGAAAACAAACAAAAAAAACAAAAAAAAATGGGCGGGATCCGCCTTTTTTTTATTTTTTTTTTTTCGGGGGGGGGGGGATGAAAATCCTCTCCTCCCTCCTCCTCCTCCTCCTCATCCTTCTCCTCGTCCTCCTCCTCCTCCTCCTCTTCCTCCTCCTCCTCCTCCTCCTCTTCCTCCTCCTCCTCCTTCTCCTACCTCTCCCCCTCCTCCACCGTCGGAGCCCGAGTGGCACGGGGCCCATCGGGCCGCGAGGAGCCGACGGCCAGGGGGGCAGCGCGGAGCATGAGGGGGGAGGGAGGGGGAGAGGTAAGGAGGAAGTGGAGGGAACGAGAAGACTTTTTAAACGACGCATGAACAATCAGATCTCGCAGAAGTGTTGGAGTGCAATACACCGCGCTGAAGGAAAGTACATAAGTCTAAAGCCACGCTGAAATAATGTAAATAACGCGAAAAGCGCCCCAGTGGCACATCTAGTGTATTATCGCAAAGACCATCCCCAAATAGCGCACCACGCACTATCAAAGCGCCCCGCTGGCACATCTAATGCACCATCTATGGAGTATTATACTCCACGTTGCAGTAAAGTACATAAAGCTAGAGTCGCGTTGGCACATATGCTGCACCTGCGCGTTAGTCAGCCCTAAGCCCGCGCCAGAGCTAAACACCCGAACAATTCATGGCGCCCACCATGAAACCACAGCTGCAACTAATTACAACACACCTATCAAAGCGCCCCGTTGGCACATCTACTGCACCATCGCAATGATCATCCTTAAATAGCGCATCAGGCACTATCAAAGCGCCGTGTTGGCACATCTAATCCACCGTTGGCATTGCATTGGCATTGGGTTGTCAAATGGTTTGGCATCGCATTGGTATTGCGTTGGCATTGCGCGTGGCAGTGCGTTGCTAGTGTGCTTGCATTTCGCAAGCGTTGCGCTGGCGAGTCCTAATGGAACCCTCCACAGAAGGACTTCGATCGAAACCTTCTACAAGAAGGACTCCTAGTGAAACCGTCCACACAAACGGTTCATCTTGACACCCTCCACAGAAGGATTTCATGCGAAATCCTCCACATACGGATTCATATTGAAATCTACCACAAAGGATTTCCACCATTGGCACTGGATTGGCATTGGGTTGGGATCGCTTTGGCATTGGTGTGGCATTGCGTTGGCACTGCGTTGGCATTGCGCTGGCATTGCGCTGGCGAGTTCCAACACCTCCCTTCGCAGAACGATTCCTGTTGAACCGCCCACAAGAAGGATTCCGATTGAAGCATCCCACAAGAAGGGTTCACACTGAACTCCCTCACGGAAGGGTTCCATTCGAAGCCCTCTATAGAAGGATTCTTCTTGAACCCGACCACAAACGATTTCTTCCCCCAGTGGCATTGCATTGGCATTGAATTGGGATCGCGTTGGCATTGGCTTGGCATTGCGTTGCTATTGCGTTGGCATTGCGCTGGCGAGTTCGAATGGCTCTCCCCCACAGAAGGATTCCTGTGAAAACCTTGCTTGATATTGAGATGCTTCGAAAGAAAGACCCCCCCCGTTGGCATTGCACTGGCATTGATTTGGCAATGGTTTGGCACTGCATTGGCATTGCGTTGGCATTGCGCTTGGCAGGGCGTTGCTAGTGCGCTTGCAGTTCGCAAGCATTGCGCTGGCGAGTCCTAATGGGACCCTCCACAGAAGGACTCCGATCGAAACCTTCTACAAGAAGGCTATTGACACCCTCCACAGAAGGATTCCATGCGAAACCCTCCACAGAAGGATTCATACTGAAATCTACCACAAAGGAATTCCACCATTGGCACTGCATTGGCATTGGGTTGGCATTGGTGTGGCATTGCGTTGGCACTGCGTTGGCATTGCGCTGGCATTGCGCTGGCGAGTTCCAACACCTCCCTTCGCAGAA